GGTTCTGCTGGTTCCCTTTAATTCCTGCACGAAAGTACCAGGGCAGCTTTGGCCCCAGGTTAATGTAACACAGGTAGGTATTTGCAAAGATCACACACTCAGGTTCTGGAACCAATCCACTGGGCCAAGTCTAACTTTGCGCTCTCTGACACATTTTTCTAAGTGCTTTTACATTATTAGTTTTTTTTTTTTTGGTTTCAAAAACCAAAGTTTCCCTTTGGAGATGTAAAATTATTATATATGCCTGAGTGGGTTTTTTTGTTTGTTTTTTAAAAAGCTAAAGTGGATAAAGAGAAATACTGTTAACTGATGGTGCATGGAGGGGATTATAATCAAAGTAATGAAACAAGGTATATGATTTGTTGAATGTAAAACTGATGAATGATGACATGCCCTGCAAACTTTCACTCAATCCACAATAAAAATCTTTAATAAAAAAAAGCAAAAAAAAACAAAACAAAGTTTGCCAACACTTTAAGATGATAATGACTTTACTGTGACTGACTACCAAAAACCAAATCTTTTAACCTCTTCTTTCCAATTTTTTTTTTAATAGAAAAGACAAAATAAATGTAAGATAAATACAGTGTAGCAATCTCTAGTATTCCAAATAAGTTTCTAGTATTTAAACTATAAATTTAGTATAGTGAAAGCAAAACAAAAACCTCTCCACTTACTTTCTGGCATTATAGGAATGTTTATTCAGTATGGCTTTTCCCTCTGTGGAACGTATAATAATATTATTAATGACTACTTACTTATGTCCACTATTTAGCAAGGTTTTTTATTTTTGGTTAAGTTTATCCTAAGGCACTGATGGTTCAATGAAAGAATTCTTGTCTGTCATGTGGGAGACCGAGGTTCAATTCTTGCCAACGCACCACATACAGCTTCACCACCATGGAGACTTTTATGTTGCTGTGATGCTGAGCAAGTTTCAGTGTAGCTCCAGACTAAGACTAGGTAGAAAGGCCTGAAAATCTATGTCTGAAAATCAGCCAGTGAAATCCTGTGGAGCACAATGGTCCGATCTCACTGCACACGGAGCCACCATTACCAATAACATCCTAAGTGCTTGTAAGCACTAGTTCATTAATTTTCATAATATGAAGAGGCTTCAAAAAGTTTGTGGAAAAACTGCAATTATCTTTCAACTTCACTTTTCCATGAATTTTCTGAAATCCCCTCAGATTACCTAGAGGCAAGTGTGAACATTATTATACCATCCTTTAGGACACAAAGAAGTCAAATCACTTGCCTAGAGTCACACAGCTCATAAGTGGCTTCTCTTGATAGTGAAGGCTCTTTTTGCTCTAACAATACAAACTCAGAAACATTCCATCTGGACAGTTCCACAGACAGCACACCTTCAGATAGCCTTCACAAGGGTTGACCCATGGACCATCAGTTTGAGCCCAGGTTCTCAATGAACTATTGCAGAAGTTGAGATTTCCCCAAAGTTCTGCTGAATTTAAGACTAGTACTCAGCCTCCAACTCTTAGTCTGCTTTTTTGAACCAAGCTGCCTCAAAGTAAAATTAATGAAAAATGAAAAAATGAGCACATACATACAGCCTTAAGACCTTACAAGCATTAATTTTAAAACAATTCTAATACACAGTATTTGTAAATGAGAAACCTATCTTACGATAGCATCAAGGTCTGTACTTTCATAGAGGCATCAGCAAAATTCTGCGAAAACAGCACACACATTATGTTATTTTTTGAAACCTATTTGAAGTGGACAATTCCTAGAAAGAAAAACAAAAAACAATCCGACAAAACACTGAAATTCACTCAGGAAGTAATAGAAAATATAAATAGATCTATAAAAAAAATAAGTGGAGAGATTCATTACTAAGATTTAAACTTCCCACAAATAAAAGCAAACCCAGATGCCTTTACTGGCGAATTCTACCAAACATTTGAAAAATGCTGAAAAGAAGTAGTGAAAGTAAATACAAACATTACAAAACATAGGAAAACACGTCTCAACTCATTTTAGAGGCTTCACCAATATTTTATGAAAATAACATGCATACTATGCACTTTTCAATTTTTTTGCAAACCACACAATCCCCTTGTGTGCTAGTTTCCCAAGCGCACGATGAACATTATATGTGCAATAAAAGTGTCCTGATGCCAAAACAAGACAAAAAATAGTAAGACTACAAGGCCCAGTATCTCTTATAGATGTAAAAATCCTTAACAAAATATAAGCAAACCAAATTCATGAACATATAAAAAAATGTGAAGGTACACCATGACCAAATGGTAATGCAAAGCTGGCTTAGTATGCGAAATGCAATACACAATATTAATGAACTAAGGGTGGAGGGTGGAGGGTCAGAAAAAAGAGGAAGACTCCCAGCGAGATGGATTGGCCAAGTGGCAGCATCAATGGGCTCAAGCGTGGCAACAGTAGTGAGGTTGGCCCAGGATCAGGCAGTGTTTCATTCTGCTATGCATAAGGTCGCTATGAGTCGGTACCGACTTGATGGCACCTAACAACAACAAGGGCAACAACCACACAATCATCTCAATATATGCAGAAGAGAGCATCTGAAGAGATCTAACACGTCTCATAATACAAACACTCCCAACCAACTAGGAACTGGAAGGAACTTCCTCAAACTGTTCAAGAGCATCGATGACAAACCTACAGCTAAAGTAACTAACGATGGAAAACTGGAGGATTTCTCCCTAAAATCTGGAACCAGACAAGGGCAGTTGTTCCCACCCCTTCTATTCAGCACTGCATTAACGGTCAGGGCACTCAGGTAAAAAAATGAAACAGAAAGCAACCAGATTGGAAAGCAAGTCAATTTATTACTATCTGCAGGTCACATGACTTTGTTTAGAGAAAATCCTAAGGAATCCACTGAAAAAACTTTTAGGATGAATAATTAAGCTCAGCAAGATTGCAATCATAATTTCTATACATCAGCAACGAACAAAGGCACCCTGCTGGCACAGCAGTTAAGCGCAAGGCAGCTACTGAGCCCATTCAGAGTCTTTGTGAGAGGAAGACCTGACAAGCCGCTCTGTAAAGATCACAGTCTAGGAACTCTCTGGGGTAGTTTGACTCTGTCTAGTAGGGTCACTATGCAGTACTGATATGGAGCTCAAATTGACTGGCTGCTCCTCGGAAATCCTATACAGGGTCACCATGAGCCACTATGACTTGATGGCACTTAACAACAATGGGATCACAAGAATCAAAACTGAATGGACAGCAGTGGATTTGGTTTTGGTTTATTGTTATACAATGGAGTATTATACACAGTTAACAATAACATGGAATGAAGTTATTGATTCATGCTATGACACAGATGAATCATGAAAACATGCTAGGTGGAAGAAGTCAGTCCACAACAGACCACCTATTGTGTGGTTTCAGTTATATGGACTGTTTAGAACAGGGCAATCTATACAGAGAGGACAGATCAGTGGTTGACAGGAGCTGAGGGAAGAGAGGCTGGGAGGAAACGAGGCATTACTGCTTATGGGTACAGGGTTTCTTTTTTGGGGAAACAAAAATATTCTAAAACTGATTATAGTGATGGCTGCATACTTTGTGAATATACTAAATCCCACTGAATTGTGGAGGCCAGCAAAAACGAGGAAGGCCCCCCAGAGAGATGGTTGGCACAATGGCAGCAGCTATGGGCTCAGGCTTAACAATGATTGTGGGGGTGACACAGGACCAGGCAGTCCTTCTGGTTCATTCTGCTGTGCATAAGGTTGCTACGGGAGGGGCCGACTCAGTGTCACCTAACAACAACATTCAATCACAGACATGGTCCGAAGTAGAACTTTTCCAATTCAGGAGTTGGACCTATCAAAAGTAGGATGCTATAAGGAATATACTACACAAGAAAGGTGCTCAAGCATATCAACAAATTGGGTACTATTAAAATTTCAAATGATAATAATAGAAAGTAACATTTACTGAGGATTTGCCATGTGGGAGGAACTGTGGGCTAAACTCATTCTATACCAGTGTACCACAGAGTTTATAGTTTAAAATGATGGTTTCAGGTGGACTAAATTAGATCATTTTTCATTTTCGTATTCATGTATTTTCTATATACTGAGAACATAGCCAGCATTTGCCATGTATAGAATTTTTTTTCATATAATTTATATGTTTTCATATAATATAAAATTTAACTGCATTAAGTAAACATTATGAAATTAACAAGTTATATAGTTTAATTTTAAACAAATATGTAACAAAAGGTCAGTCAATTTTTGAAAACACAGCATGACAGTGACTATAAAGGACTATGGAAAAAGCAAAATAGCCTGATTTTCTAGAAGGTGAAATTCTGAATTCTTTTTTTTTCTGTTCCTAGCGTATCAATGTTCCTAAAGAGTTTGTGTAAATAAAAGTTAAGTGTTTAAAAAAATAATTCTGCCCTAACCCCTCAAAATATAACAACAGTTCTCTAATGTCTATTTCCTATTGGTTTGCCCCACAACATTTTAACATGCACACCACTCCTGAGTGAGGAGTCCATTTCTTCTCTCTCAGGAAGTTGCTTTCTGACATTTAGCAGATACTGTTTCTTCTTACCATATCCCACAGCTCCAAGACAAAGCCACTTAACTATTCATTAAAAAGTTCCAGACATTTTCCACAAAGAAAAGCAGACATATGGCAAAATTTTCCAGTGGACAAGGTGCTACTACTCCCTGGGGTTACTCTGCACAAAGCTGCCCATCCACCTCTGCACCCAAACCAAAAAATTCCAACTGGCAGAGTAGGGCAGACGCTTAGTATTTCCTTTCGAAGAACCCTGCTGAAGCAAAGACTTGGTTTCTCATGACTGGACGTCTGTGATACCCACAAGATAGGGTATACAGACAAGCATACCATTTCTGATGTTTCAATACAGTGAGCACAACTCAAGAATTCTTTGTGCCTTTTGGCAAGTCTTCTGATCACTTAGGCCAGGTACCAACCAGCTTCCCAAGGGAAGGCTCCCTCACACCTACCTGTGCATGTTTCCATTGGTGGTGAAGGACTGGCCGCACACAGTACACTTGTATGGTCGTTCGCCTGAGTGCACCAGCATGTGGCGGTCCAGGGAGCTGGCCGAGCTCAGAGACTTCCCGCAGATGCTGCAGGAATGGTCGGCTCCTCCAGTGTCTGTGTTGTGCTGGAGGAAGCAAGAACCTCAGTGATCACTTAGGAAGATGGGCTAGAGATTCAACTACTACTAAGCGCAAATTCAGAACGTGATGAAAAAAGACCAAAAAACTAGTGCTGTTTTCAGGTACTTTAATTTTTGTTTCATTTTAAATATCTTCTGTTACAGGCTGAATTGTGCTCCCCCCAAAAAGGCATGCTGATGTCCTAACTCCTGTTCCTGAGAATGTGACCTTGTTCGGAGAAATGAGATTTTGTAGAAGTTTGAGGATGCTGTCAGTCATGTCATACTCCTGACCCTTTTTCAGTGGTGTCTTATCAAAGAAAAGACAAGACACATAGCACATCATATACAGAGAGAAAGCGTACGGGAACACATCTACAAGTCAAGGAATACTAAGAGATGTCCAGCGCTACTGGAAACTGAAAGAGACAAGGAAAAATCTTCCCCTACACACAGAGAAAGCAGAGCCCTGATTTCTGACTCCCAGCCTCCCCAAAGGAACCCTGGTAGTTCCTTTAGCCCAGTGGTTAAGTGTTCCACTGCTAATCAAAAGGCTGGTGGTTTGGACCCAACAGCTACTCTGCAGGAGAAAGACGTGGCAGTCTGCTTCCGTAAAGATTTAGACTCTTGGAAATCCTATGGGGCAGTTTCACTCTGTTCTAGAAGGTAGCTCGGAGTCCTAATCGACTTGGCAGTGGGTAGCCTTCAGAACTGGGAGGTAATAAATATGGTTTTAAAAGCCATCATTTTGTGACACTATGTTCTGGCAGTAAGGAAGACATCTGTAATATCAAAATGTATTAGGAATACAGGCAAACAACTATTTTTGTATGATCGTCTTCCACTCCCAGGTTCTAGTCTGGGAAAATACCTTCACTGTAAGACTCAGAGGTAGAAGCTTTGCAGGATTTATGAGATGAAAATAGATGAGCTGACCACAGATATGAATTCCTATGAGAATTCACCTTCTCAACTATGAAGCAGACATTGAAAGGTTACAAGTCAAGCCCTTCTTCAAGCTCCATGGCTCACCCCTGCTGTCGGAGAAGAACCAAAACCTGCAGAGATTAGAAGGTTTTGCCTCTGAACTAGGGTTTGGAGGACAACCTTTCTACCCAAACCCAAGTAACCCTCATTATTCAGTGCCATACCCTCCTCTGTTCTAGACTCATCAATACCCTCACAAGCCAACCATATGAAAGGGAAGAGGATAAATCTCATTATACAGGAGAAAACCATAAAAGACTCCAAACTAAGTAAGCTCCCTGCTACTGGACTTAAATTCATACCAATATAATGACAAAAATCTACATTTACAGCCTTGTTATACTGGGAGGGAATTTGTTGACACTAACAAGACCCCTGGCCCAAGAAAACAGTCTTTTGTTTTACATACATGCACACACACACACATATAAATAAATATTCAACTAACTAGGTGTTTAAAACAAATCTTAATAAAATATTCTGTGTCGGTCTAAGACTCAGAACCATTACACAAATACAAAAGAAATGAACACCCAGCACTTCCTTCCCAAATGACTAAGATGTTAACTCTAAACGGAATACAGCCAATGAAAATGGAGCCACCAGCCCTCTGCTGATGAAGAATGGTTTAAAGCAAGGCTAGGAAAGATGGCGGCCAACCTGTCGGATGTGCATAGTTAGCTGGTGCTGTGTAGCGCAGATCTTCTCACACAGGGGACAGTTATAGGAAGACTTCTCCTCTTTTGTTTCCTTGAAGAAGAAGAAGAAGAAAAAGACATTAGCAGGGAGAATGAATTGCATTTCTGTAATGGGCACCGCTATCAGGAATTCTATCAACGTGGCTAGGAGCGTGGGCTCTGGAGCCTGGGAGGGCGGGTGAGCTAAGTTTGCCCTCGCTTTCCTCATTAGTCAATGGCAGGTAGGTTCCCAAAGGTCCACAGAACCACCTGGGGTAGCTTTGTGAAACATGGATTGCTAGACCAGCCTTTCCACAGGCTGAGTTGGAATTTTGGGAGAAGGGTGGGGTTCTGAAACCCAAGCCTCAGAAATCTGTTTGCGTTATAATCACAAGTTGCCTAGGAAATTCTGATGTGTGCCTGGGATTTTTTAGAATGATAAGTGAGGTGACCATGAGCACATGAGGAAGCAGTTGGGAACAAAGTCAGTGGGGACCAAGGCAGGAGACCAGGTCCCCTCTTAGGGTCAGGTTGTACGTCAATAGACCCTTTATACTTGAACTAGTTTGATGCATTTCTGCTGCTTGCAAATAATAGTGATACTACATTTAGCAAGTATTTACTTTGTGCTAAACTCTGCGTATTTAGGAATGTTGGCTATTTCATAATCACTAAGAAATACCCACTATTCTGGATCTTATTTTCTCAATGAGGAAACCGGGGTACACAGAGGCAAGTGACTGTCCTAAATCAGGGGACTATCAAGTAACAGATATGGATTCAAATGCAGACAGCTGACTCTACCAACCATGCCCTAAACCATGGTGCCATGTGAGTCTGACCAAGAAAGAAGGCTGAAGGCACAGGCAGGAAACATCTTTGTATTTGTTCATGAGCGATGATGGAAATAAAAAAGTTACCCCAAGCCAACAGAGACAAATGGCCCCAGCGAGCAGATGGGGAGGAGGACATGTAGGAGAATGTCTTTGTGCATTGTCTAGGGCAGTTCTCTCACACTCCTTTCTCTTCTAAGACGCTCAGACCTATTTTCAATAATACAGACGGTTTCCTAATCTGCGGAACTGGGCCGGAGAATGAGGCATACTGTACATTTCTCACAATCTTAACAATATGAATTCTAAAAAGCAGATCACCCAGAGACAGTCAAAGGCTCCCAGTGTCACCTCGTTATCCATAAACATCCACTTCTCCCAGAGGTACACAAGGTGGCGGGGGATCGTTCCTTCTCAGCTCAGTTCTACAACGATAGCCAGAATGGAGCCGGCCAAGGATCACCAAACAAAACAAGTGGCACAAGTATAAGAACACTTGCTATATCCTGAGGGGGTGTCTCATAGCATGGCCAAAAGTCAGGGGGGAGTTCAGTCTCTGAGGACTTTTTCTAAAATTATTGCCCATAACTTACATCCACATATATATACAAGTATATGTACACACATGCAGCAGTTTCTGTTGAGTGGATTCCAACTCAGAGCCACCCCATGTGTTTCAGAGTTGAACTGTGCTCCTTGGGTTTTCAGTGGCTGATTTTTCAGAAGGAGACCACCACCAGGTCTTTCTTCCAAGGCACCTCTGGGTGGCCTGGAACTTCCAATCTTTTGGTTAGCAGCAGAGCACATTAATCAAGTGCATGACAGAAGAATTCCATACCCAAAGGGGCTTCACAAAGTTTGTGGGGAAAAAGTTTCCATTATCTTTCAATTCCATTTCCTGCAAACTTTCTGAAGCCTCCTCTTGTATGTGTGTACAATACAATATAGAAACAGAAATACACATGTGTGTATGCACACATATGCATATAAAGAAAGATTCACCAGTAAGATGTGAGTAAATGTTAGAAAGTCAGGCCTCTAAGTGGCCGGCTAACTTCTTGAGGAGACAAATTTAAAAAGAAAAGACACAACCATTCAAGTTCACCTTGAAGGAGACCCCAGACATACTATGCAGCTTAGTGGAGCTGGCTGGTGTTGACTCTGGGATTTATCATTAACGGGAACCCAAACTTTCTCTGAGGTTGGCAGTGGTATGTTGCCTACAAGGCAGGGCAGTAAAACCCAAGGTGGTGCGCGAGAAGGAGGACTGTTGACTCAGACTTGAGTTTTGAAAACAAACTAAACAGAAAAGAGACCGCTGTGGCTCTTGCTGAGGCTCTCCTGGGGATGAGGAATCCAGCCCTGCTGCTGAGAGGAACACACTTCCTGAGCTGAAAGATAAAATTAGCAGCTAATGTGATAACTAGCCATTCCATAATGAAACAGTCTGGCAGCCTTGTTAGGCATCTGCTGGGGCTAATCTGTCTTGGAACTCTCGGGGAGCCCTGAATGGGACTGCTCCCTCTCCATACCCTCCCTACCCTGCTCACAGGTAAGAGATGCTTCATTCTTCTGGGCACTCTCTCTCTCTCTACCATGTCTTGTTTTGCTTGTCTGTTTTCTAATTCACTGAATATATCATGCAACATCTGGCTTGGATCTCCCATTTTCAAAAACCCAATCAGTGAAGGGGAAGAGGCGCTGGGCACAAATGGCTCAGTCACACCTGCATCAGCAGCTGTTTTTTCACACCTGCAAGGCCAATCTCCACCAACACGTGGGAAGGGCGATGCAGTGGGGTCCCTCTGTGACTGTCTCTGAACAACGGGGTACAAGCTGAAGCCTGCACCTGGGCCATCCAGCCAAGCTGGGCCATGCTGGACTACTGAAGGAAGCCCTTTTCCTACAAGACCTCCACCACATTTTCCTGGCGGAGCAGCACCTAATTCATCATGAGGTGCAGGGTCCCTGGGGACAGTTAAATGGACTGATGGATGGATGGATGGGTGGATGGACAGTCATGTACAAGTAGAAGTAAACCTTTTCTTCTCCTTCTTGCTCAGACCACAGCCACGCAGGCTGAGTATTTTCTCAGGCACCCATAGGAAGAGAGGCATGTGGAGATAAAAGGAAAAAAGAGAGAAAAGAGATCAATGCCCAGTCCTAAAGTACCACTTAGCTGTTCACGCTTCAGCCTTGAGAAGGGGCGGGAAACACATTCCTATACACAGCTGGGGGACTGCAGGCTGCTGCTGTTTTTTCGGGAAGGCCTGTTGCCTCAAAGGTCTTTATTAATGCTGTACTTCTAAGAATTTATAGGAAACCGTCAGAGATGTGCTCAGAGGTAGAGTCACTGTACGATAATCACTATAGGATTATTAATAAAAAAGGAAATCAATTCATGTAATCCAACAGGTCTATCTTCCTATCCACCCCTAGATAAACCCAAAAGAACATCTTCTCTTGACGGTTTAGGATAACCCATTAATTCAGATCAAGGAAAATGAACTGTGGAGCTAATGCAGTCAATTCATATTATCTGGATTCCGAGAAGCAATGATATCTCATCCCCTTGTGTCTTGCTCCTTAACCTCATTCATTAAAGCAGAACTGCAAAAACTTTTCAAAAGGGCCCTTTTGCACATTTATCATAAGATTCATGCCATTTCCCAATGGACTTTGGGGGTTGGGGAGCAGATTATAATGAGAGAAAATGGGACTTTCCCTCCCCACCCCCTTGCATAGACTCTTATAACATGATTAACCCTCCCCAACCCATGCCCATTTACTCTTTTCCGCTTCTCCTGAACTAATGCCTGCCTCACCGAAAGTTTAGAAAAATAAAACAGCAACCTAAATGGAATTCTCTGGAAGTAATGTCTGTTTTTCCAAAGATAGAAAGCAGAATAGAAGTCTCGACTTAAACAGTAGTAATCTGCTACCTACAGACACTGAAAAAAACAAAAACCCACAAAGACCAGGTGGTAGCTTTGAGCATCCCATCAAACAGCTGTGTGAATAAGGAAACAGTGCACATTATAGCAAAAGAGTCCTAAGTCAGGTTCTTTGCTTTGGTCATTATATGAAGAAAGCTTGCATTCAAATCAAATTACGGTGTAAAGAATAAGGGAGCTTTCACCAACATTTATACCACAGCAAAGAACATTTTCTCCATGAAAGGAAATTGACATAAGCTATGAAAAATGTGCTCTTGAAATATTATTAAGGCCTCTGGGCTTGTCTATTTAATTCCACACAAAGCCAAGGTTTTGTCTTAGAAATCTGGGACTCAAGGGAACCTCCTTCTTCCAATATTCTCAGCAACTAAACCCACAGGCTTCGCAGCCGAGTCAACCAAAGCTTACCTGGTTCCTTCTGCCAATCCGATTTGGTCCTGGAGGCTTTGAGGGGGACTTGAGGCCCTGGGAGCTTCCGCCATTCTCAGCAATCTTCCCTACACTCATGACTGCTGACATCATGGTGTTGATGGAAGATAAGTCTGAACCTTCCAAGCCACTTGACATCATTGGGACGAGCGTTTAAGCTCCTAAGAAGCCTCTGCCATAGAACTGAAAATCGGAAATTGCTGATGTGATTGAGTGAACGAGTTTAGGCTGAAATCATGGCCAGTTGGCACCGGCCAGGGCTACTATAACTGTAAGTCAAGTCAAAAAGCCGAAAGCCCGCTTTCTTCAATTTAAACTGGTATTCATGCCTTTAAGTATTCAAACATCGAACTAAATGAAGGCTCGGCATAGCAAAGACTGATGACTTTGCTTTCTTTTTGACTTTATGCCACCATTAAGATTCACCTGTCATGTGTGGCAGGATTCTGTGCCTTTCTGAACTTTCCAATACGCAGAGTGGGGAAAGGTCCATGGAGCTGCACCCTCCAAAGAATGTAGAGTCATTTACTACTTACACGAGTGCCTTTCACTCAAACACTAGTGAGAATTTTCAGGTTGCACTAAGCTCACTGCTCAAAATACAGTGATTTTAATGGGGGGAGGGAGGGGTCCAAATTTTCTGCGAATATGGAAAGATCAATCCTCTATCAGAATTGCAACCAAGTTTCAAACAAACATAGGAAGCCTTGCTTCTTTAGGTAATATACCTGGACGAGCTGAGAAACTACAAACAAGAAAAAGCTGCCCCCCACTGCCAATTACCTCCATTTTCTGCCCTAACTGATACACTATGGCATTGCCCCTGCTATAGCTATCGTCCACATGTAGCAGCAAATGAGTCTGTGTTGGCTTCTTTCTTTCCTGCGTTTGGAGCCACTCGTTGACACTGGAAGGGAAGCAGAAGTAACTAGGTTTAGTATTTTTACTTAGTGAAGGAGAAAAGCTGAAGTCTCTCATTTACCTTCATGGAAATACAAGGAACATAGCTGAAAGGCAACTTCTAAGACACCTCTTCCGTTCCAAACCACACTGTATAGTTATTTTATAGTGTGGTTTGGAAATCTTATTAATGCCCCCTCTAGGAGTCCTGGTGTGGCACTATGGGCTAATGAGCTGGACTGCAAACTCGGTTTCAACCACAAGGTTGGTAGGTCAAACTCACCAGCCACTCCTTGAAAACCCTATAAAGGGTCACTGTGGGTAAGCACCAACTCAACAGTGCTTAGCAACTAATAATGTACCCTATGGCGCTGTGGGTCAATGCACCAGACTGCAAAGCCATTTGAACTGCAAGGTGGTGGTTCAAGCTCACCAGCTGCTCCTCAGAAACCCTATACAGGGTGGCTATGGGTCGGAATCAACTCAATGGCACTTCACAACAACAATAGTTCTCTCACCTTACTACCAACAGGCAAGATTCTGTGGTATTTTACTTTCTGATGTTCACACTGCTCACACGGAATCCTGTCATTCCGTCCCTCCTATCCCTCCATATATATGCCCAAAGATTCTAAAACTACTGCCAGACCCACCTTGTGCCTCTACCTAACACTGACCAGCAGTTAAGAAATTCACTACGGTTAATGGTTCATAGTCTACAAGGTACTGAAGTTGATTCAGACCTACAGTAATGCTAAAGGACAGAGGAGAACTGCTCCTTCAGCGTTTCTAAAACTGTAAATCTATTTGGGACAGACAGCTGCATCCTGCTCCTGCAGAGCCGCTGGTGGGTTTGAACCACAGACCCTGGGGATGAGCAGCCCAATGCTTATCTCACAGCGGTACCTTAATTCGAGAAGGTATTAAAAATCAGACGCAAAAGAGAAACCTGGAAAGATGAACAGAAGGACAGTTCTGAGAACTGTAACTAACCCACAGCCACATCTTAATTAACTTTTCAGGGATTCTTTGCAAATAGAAATACTTTGGCTATAGAAGTGGACAGAAATATACCTATAGGCAGCTATTTCCCTTCTTGTAACTGGGAGTTCAGTGGCTCCATATGATAAGCATTGGACTGTGATCTGTAAGGTCTGCAGTTCAAGCCTGCCAGCCTCTCCATGGAAAGATGAGGCTTTCTGTTCCTACAAAGATTTAAAACCTTGGAAAGCCTGTACAAGGTTGCTATAAGTTGGAGTTGACTCCACAGCACTTAACAACGACATCTGGAAAGTTCTTCTATAACCGAAACCCTGCTAATAAGTCACATATCCTACCATCCCAAGTATGAGCTGTAGTTGCTAAATGCCACCGAGTCAGTTCTCACCCACAGTGACCAAGGAGTGGCTGGTGAGTTTGAACTACCAACCTTGTGGTTCAAAAGGACTTTGCAGTCTAGCACATTAGCTCACAGCACCACATCAGGACTCCAAAGTATGAGCTAATATGTTCTAAAAGTCCCAAACAGCAAAGATTCTCGCACAGCACAATGCAAGAAAGAACATGATTTTCGTGGTGTCTCTTCAAACATTAACAGAAACACGCAGAACAGCTACAAACATTAATGTTCTAGCAGCAGAGCAGCAAAAGCCTGGAGCTAGAACTTTATTAAGTGATGCACACCATCAGCTAACGTCTCAAAATCCTGCCAAAAGAGAATCTTCAGAAGCAGTGCCGGTGCTTCCCTTGTCAAGAGACAAAACGTACTTCCCTTGTTAAAAGACATTTTGAACCTAACGGTTTCTAAATGGTGGGAAAAGAAACTACAGAGATATACAATGGAAGATTACTGACACACCCTCACCTGTCACCTTTCCCCAGCAATAGAAGACAGTTACGGCTAAAATTAAAGGAAGGAAAAAAAAAAAAATCAAACTGCTTACTTTCCATGAAAGTTTCCCATGCTTGAAGATCATTTAAACTTATTTAAAACTGTGTACCAGACGTTCTGTTTTTAACTGTCCTGTAAGTTAATCTGAGAGACCTCCTCTAGGAATAAAACATGTATACAAGTATACACTTGTGTGCGTACACACACACAGCACGTCTTCCTTTTTTTAAACAAATGATTACATACAGAGGGAGTCGTTTTTATTAAATCAGTAGTTACCAGCCTTGGCTGCACATGAGAATCACCTGGGCAGGTTTAAGAATTTAAGATGCTGGGGATTCCCTATGTACCTGAGTTTCTGATTTCACTGGTCTGGCCTGAGGTTTGGACACCAGTAGGTGGTTGTGGGTTGTTTTTGTTTTTTTTTTTTAAAAACACCTTTTATTGTGAATTAATGAAGGTTTACAATACAGACCAGCGGTTTTACATTCAACAAATCATATGCTTCTGATTGCAATCCTCTATATATATGATCATGCGCGCTGGTAGTGTCGTGGTGGCGAGTTGGGCTGCTAACCTCAAGGTCAGCTGTTTCAAGGGTTTCTGCTCTCAGAAAGAATTACAGCCTCAGAAACCCTATTCAGAGTCTCTGAGAGTCAGAACCGACTCCTCTGTACACATTGGTGGTGGCGGTGGTGGTGTGCCATGCCATCAGTTAACAGTATTTTACCTCTATTTACTTTATCTTACATTCCTCCCTGTGTCTCCCACTTCCTTCATCTTTCCTCTGCCTTCTTCATTATCCAAGTTAACATGGGGCTACCCTCTACCCAGTGAATAATTTCTCCTCCCTCCTAGCCCTGATAGCCATCATAGAATGTTTCTTTCAGCAAGATAACACTTTCTTAACTTTTTACAGCAGTGGTCTCACACAGTATTTGTCCTTTTGTGGCTCATTTCACTCAGCATAATGTCTTCCTGATTCATTTATGTCCTTTCTTAACGGATTTTTAACAAAAGTATCATTAGTTCTCTAAAACCTTTGCAATCAATCAGCATGTAATTGTTTCTGATTCAAATAAATATTTTCAATTACCAAATCCCTATCACTCTTTTAAATGCACTCTTCCCATAATCTTAATGCATAGCAAATTATAAACTAACAAATTCATTACTGTAACTGGTATGTCAGTAAAATGTAAAATTAACTTTCCTTCCAATATTTATGAACCTTGGTGTGGTGTTCTTGGGTAAGCACTAGACTGGTAACTGCAAGGTCGGCAGTTTAAACCCACCAGCCACTCTCAGAAATTTTATATAGGGTCGCTATGAGTCGGAACCAACTCAATGGCACACAACAACAACCTATGTATATGGAGTTCTGGTGTGGTGCTGTAGGATAAGCACAGGACTTCTAATTACAGGCTGTCAGTTCAAATTTACTAGTCATTCCTTGGAGACCCTATACAAGGTCACTATGAATTGGAACCGGCTTCATGGTACTTAACAACATGCAAAAGAAAAAAATGCATAATCGAGTTTCCTCAAATCTGGAAACAGGTTACTGCACTACTTTCCAGACTAAATGTGAAACTGTTATTGTTAAGTGCCGTCAGGTCGGTTCCAACTTAGAGCAAACCTGGACAGGGTTTCCTAGGAATGCGTGATGGATCCGAACTGCTGACCTTGTGGTTAGCAGTATAGTGCTTATTCTATAGTGCCACACCAGGACTCCGTAATGTAAAATTAAAGGGTATGAAAAACATACTCTCTATTCATCCATGAAAGGTATCTGGAAGGAAAAAAAAAAAAAGTACGACCTACTTTCAAAACAATAAGTCATTCCTAACATCAGCGATGCATTCTTGCAGTTTACTTAAGTAACTTGAATACAGATTGCCCAGCAAGTTACTAAGGAGCCCTGGTGATATAATGGTTAATGTACTTGGCTGCAAAGTGAAAAGTCAGCAGCAGTTCGACTCCACCAGCTGTTCTGTGGGAGAGAAGACTCAGCAATATGCTTCCATAAAGATTGTGGCCTAGGAAACCCTACAGGGAGTTTCTACTCTAGCAGATGGGGTAGCTAAGAGTTGTAATTAACTCTACAGCATACAACCATAAAGAGCAAGTTGCTACAGCTAGCCAACAGAAAGCCTTGAAATTACCAGGGCACACAAACTTGTTTCCCATTCTCTCTGAACAAGTATACATTTGCTAAGTTTATATCCTGCTTTGGGAGCAGGTGTGAAGGTGGCACTGCAAACTGAAAATGCCAACATCACCTATGCTTATTCCCTCTTCCTATTTTGCATGTAAGTAAATAGCAACACAGATATTATTACTGTTGTTGCTGTTACAGGCCATCAAGTCAGTTCTGACTTAGTGACTCTGAA